TCATTAGGGCTACGGGCTCCCAGCCCCACCATCTGGCGCGTGGAGGCCACTACCGCGGGTATGAGCACGGGCTCCTTCGCCCCCGCTGGACACATCCTCACCATCAGTGACGCCCGAGAGGCGCCTCCGACACCGCTACCGCCGCCGCCCTCAGCCCCCTCGGACCCCTCGGGCACATCACCTCCGGGACCGTCCTCCTCATCGCCGCCATCGCCAACCTTGTCGCCGTCCCCGTCATCATCGCCATCATCACCCACATCTAGCAGCGGCGGCGGCGACGGCGGCGGCGGTACGGCAACAGGCGCGGCGACATTGGGCGGCCGAGGAACGTCCTCCCTCCTGCCCGCCTCCTACTCCTCCTCATCATCATCATCGTCCTCTTCCTCGAATGCGTCCTCCTCGGCTAGCAGTAGCAGTAGCAGTAGCAGTAGCGGTAACAGCAGTAGCAGTAGCGGCAGTTTAGGTGGTAGGTCGCGAGGGAGCTTGCGCGGCTTTGGCGGCCGCGGCAGCGGCGCCGGCTTCGGTGGCGGCTTGTCGTCGTTTCTGGGCGGTGGGGCTGCTGCCCGTCGCGGTGGCGGCGGCGGTGCGGACAATGATGATGACGACGACGACGATGATGACGATGACGATGAGGGGCTGGATGAGGATGACCTCATGTCCATGTACGCCGCAATGGGAGTGTCGGGGACACCTTCCCTTGCAGCCATCATTGACGTGGTGCGTTTTGACAGTTGGCAGTTAATTGGTTTGTTCTTGTTGATGGTTATGGTGGTTGCAGCCCGAGACGAGGTGGTCCATCTTTTGGATCTTTCAGACGTCGGAGTCAAAATACCGGGATTTTGTTCACCGCTATCTCGTACACTATTTGTTAAGGAAAAAGGGGAGCACGCGCACTGCGATGGGAGGCCACGACACGACACCGCGGGCTGTGACACGGACCGCCACCCCAACGGCCATCACCACCACAACTACTATCACCACTATCGCCAAACCACCTCAACCAACCCCCAACCGCAACCACCACAACCGCCACTGCATCAGGTTGAGGCGCTAGGCAGTGAGAGCGCCAGCTGGGAGGAGGTCATGGAGACGTGCGCGGTGGCGGTGGCGGCCGACACCACGAAGCCGCTGGAGGAGCTAGGGCCCGCCGACTGGGAGATCATGGAGGTACGGCAGACAGTGGGAAGTACGGCATATCCTGACAGCACGGCAGGGTTCGTCTTGCGTACTCTTGCCGGGATGTCGCGGAGAAAAGAGCGTGCGAACGGCTAACATCGTGCAACCGAAAAAAAACAGAAAACCGAAGAGCAGTGTAGCTCTTCTCCCAAGAAGGAAAGGAATGCATTTGGGCAGATCCCCCTCGGGTCCCAACCCCCTTCCCTGCGGATTTTATTTACACCATTCTTTCTCCCCCACACACCCCCACACCCCAAACCCCCACACACACCCACACCCCTCAGCTCAAGGGAGTTGATCAGGAGTTCGGCACCATCATGGTGGACGGTGAGGTCCGTCGAGGCTACCGAATTAAGATCATGGTAAGCGTTCTAAGCGGGGGAGCTGGGGGAAGGAGGGAGGGGAAAGGGGAGTGGCGGTGTCGGGCTGGTGTGTGCATGTATGTATGTGGGTATGTTAAATGAGTGAGCAATTGGGTTAGCGTGCCTTTTGGTAGCACCTACCTCCCTGTTGACGCTTGCGGCTTCACTCCCGTCCTTACTGGAGACCAACGCCATTACACATACCCTCCCCCTCTACCCATCCTACCCCTCCTAACCCTCCTCCTTCCCCTCCTCCTCCTTGTCCCCCACCCTTCCGCAGGTTCGCGACCCCCCCGGCCTTTCAGAGGACCTGCGCTCGCAGCTGTTGGCTTACAAGCGGGAGGACCTGCGGCGGGTGCTGTCCGGCGCCCCACTGCCCCCGAGCTTTGGAGCACTTGTGTTCTCGTGAGCCACCGCCTCCCCGCTTCCTCGACGCCCCCTCAAAGCATGTATACAAATACGGCCACCGTTGACCCCTCGCATCAACGTGATCAGCATCATGGACCTCCCCCTCCTTCACGTTGGTGGTCCAGACTGCAGAGGGAAAACGATTTTGTGTGGTTGCGGGTTTACATGTGTGTGGAGGAGGAGGAGTGGGAAGCCTCACCCACACGCACACTCACACGCACACGCACACTCACACTCACACGCAAATGTGCATCGCACTCGAAAGCCGTCATCGCCACCTCCACTCGCGCCGTCAGTTTTTAACAGACGAGGACATACAGACAGACAGACAGACAGACAGACAGAAGTGGGTTTGCGGGGTGAGGGGAAATCGGCGAAGCTGCTAGCAGGTGACCATTTTCCGTTTGTTGGGTCTGGAGGAGAGGGTCGAGCTGGGACTTGCCTCTCCCTCTTCTTCCCCACCTCTGCCCTCAGTGATGTGGAGCGCACCCCCACCAGCAGCGGAAGTGAAGTCACCGAGTCGGAGCTCATCAACTCCTATCTGCCATTGCCCACGGGCGGCATGTTTGGAGGAGGTGCGCGTGTTCTCCTCCCTCCCCCCCGTGTATGTGTTTGTTCATAGAAGATCATTTGAAATATGCATCACGTCTATGCTCGGTAATTGTGAGACGTATGCTTGTCATATGCGGCAAAAGAAGTCTTTTCGTTTTTGCGAGAGCTCGTGTGCGGTATCTTGTGCTTACCCGGCACACAGAGCCCGCTGGTGCCGGACCCACCTGAAGGACCACCACCCCTTCGCCGTCTGCCCGCTCGCTATGCCGCCACCCTCGTGTTTCGGCCGGCATCGTTCATTTCCATGCGTGTGCGCTCCGTCCATGCCGCTTTTGGTTCTAGTGGTTCTACGCCGTGTCGTGGGTTCAAGCGAGAGAGTGACGCCGCGTCTCCCTGCATCAATCTTTTCACCAGCCACGCATCATCATCCTCTCGTCCACATCTCGGGAACTTTTTTAACTTAACTTTTTTAGATTCTAAAACACCCCAACACCCCTGCCAACAACCAACAGCCGCCTTCTGCTGTGTTGATTACCCCCCCTCTCTTTGTTCTCGTTGTTCCGCCCCAAACGAACGTTGTCTCTGCAGCCCAAATCGCGCCCCTGCCTGGCGGTGTTGAACTTGTCGAGTACTCCTCCGTAATCGGCGTGCTTCGCGCCATGAACGCCCTGCCTCCGGAGCCGTTGCGGAGCAGGGAAGATGGGGAGGAGGGGGAGGAGGAGGGAAATGGGAACGTACGGAGTGGGCGGGAGGGCGGAAATGGACGGGGCAGCGGTACCAGCGGCAGCAGCGGCGGCGGTAGAGGTGGCGGCGCG